TTTCTGGGACTGCTTTGGTGTCAGGTTGGGTCTGGTCGGTACTTTAGCACACTACCCGGTAGAACAGTTGATACAACATTTGTTAGCGGAAGGAATATACATGTAGATGCCCAAGGTTTTGCTGATAGGGCATTAAGAATATATTCACTATATTTGTGACAATATCGTTAAAAGAATTCATAAGAAATAGAAAAAAATTAAAAGATATTTCAGTTCCATAATAATATAATAATACATTCCTCTGAAAAAAAAGCTTTGTGTGCAGTGAGAATGGTGAGATAGGAATCTAAATTTAACAGTACTTTATAAAGTTTAGAAGGAAAAAAATTATCATTTTCTTCTGAAATTCCTTTCACCACAAAATACAATTCATTGCTTCTTAGCTGAAGAAAAACATTAAAATAAATTCAGTATATATTATCAATCCACCTTATCTCCAATAAATCTCGTATAATGTACATGTGTATCTAAATATTTTTGACATTTGCTTCTTTACAACAATTTTCTGGATACAAATAGTCATGTCTTCAAATCTTCAAAAGTTTTTTTTTTTCTGTTTGGATGCAGTTCAAACTATTGAAACTCTCTGACAATATCATTTAAATGAATAATAACCCTGGTACATGTATGAGAGAATAAAATGTTTTAATGGAGATATGAGCTACAGCATGTTTCCCTATGTTGATTATGTTCGTAAAATTCATTGCAAAAGCAGAAATCATTCTTTGATTATATACAATATCACAATAATTTTGCCATGGTTGAACCTAAAAAGTAGCTTGAAGAGTTTTCCAAATTTGCCAAATTCCATGTCTTTTTTAAATTTGTATAAAATTGTATTATACAATCAATGACATTATTCAAAGTTCATTAAGAAAATGATAAAACACACAAGACAACAATATAAATTAGTTGTTATTCATTCTTTTAGTAGAATTGTATTAAAAACCTACCTCCTTTTGTACAAAATTTCAAATACAAAATCAATGTTCTTACATGTACATCTGTTGTATAACTACCTTGTTCATTGCAATCTTAAAAAACGAACTGTACCTTAAATTGTCTTCAAAGTAAATGATGATCATTGTTAATCATATTATAAAGGGTACATTTTCATATCTCCAATTCATTTTCAGAAAATGCAAATAAAAACATGAACAATACTGTTTCTATTTGAAAATTGATAAATATATTTGAGATTAAAAAGCCATAATTATCAATTGATTCGGCGAAAAAATCTTCGAAGTTCCTCTCTGAATTGATTTCATAAAACCAGTAAATGTATGGATTTCCAATGTGATTTATCAGTTGAAAACGAATACAGAAAACATAAACATTCCGTTTGTACCCTTTAATTTCCCATGTACTTGCGAAATCGTAGATGTGTGTAACTAGTGACGATATTATCAATTGAGTGGGATAGCTTTTTTATCAAAAAGGGAATAGTCCCTGTCAAGGGTTTGATAAAAGAGCTATCCCACTCACAACCAGTGGGTAAGCGTTTTATTATACTGATGTATAATATAAATCTGAAGTTTGAGTTTTTTGGAGTAAGATAATACTGCAAGAATAATCTGAAATCTCGATGACGTCACAATGCTAATGGAGTCATTATGACATCATCAGTCAATAGATTTATCGCTGGAAATCAAAATTGGAGGCAAAAATTGCATGAAAATTTTCTGAGAGTGGATAGCAAAAACTTTACCCCGGGGTATAGCTTTGCTATGCGTGAACTATAAAAGATAGTTATTTTACCTTCTTAACTTTATATAGGAAACATTTCAACAGAAGTATAATAAACGAAATTATGTAGACAATGATGATCACAAAAAACATGACACTGATATTCCTTCTAGAATTTTAATCCGAACCTTTCCTTTTTCTAGAGGCTTTCCGGTTTTACTCATTAATTCAAAGTGAATTTTGTTCTATTGTTATTTTCAAACGCTAACCATTTCGGTGTCTGCTGATACGACATGACTGCTGGTATCTTGAATATTATTTGTTTGATATCGTCTAGCAACGGGAAGTCTTCTATAAACAGTTTTAATAACGGATATGTAAAGACCGGATGTGATGAAAATGTTGATAAAGGAAATAAGTAGCAAACTTCCTTAATATGCTAAAATAGCAGCTGAGTTGTTAGTATCGTCATCGATATGACAGAAAGACACGTGACCTGTGACAATGAGTGATTTAATTTGATACGCAGCACTGTTAAGGTTAACTATGAGAAATCAACAGAAAATAGAAGTGCAAAAAAGGGTGTTGTTTTTAAAACTGAATATATTTTTATTGAGCTGTTTTATTATCACAGAACTTAAATACTTATGAAAATTGCATAGTATAACCTATTCTGTACTGCAGTAAAACTCGTTTAGTACGAACATGGATATAGCGAACTCACGGATATAGCGAAGTTTTTCTGGGTCCCTGGCAACATTCTTAACAAATCTTTGTAAAATTTTACGGTTACAACGAACTCTGATATAACGAATTTACGGATATAGCGAACTGATTTTGATTCCCGCTGAGGTTAAATATAATAAAATTTACATCTTTTATAACGAACTTTCAAAGATTATTAAAAAATGATAAATTGAACTGACTTTATTTCCTTTTAGCATTTGTATATAAAATACAATTCATAATAAAACCTTAGATATCGAAGATATGTTTTGTAATTTTGGCTTCCCTAAAATATTTGGTAGTAATACTTGAAGGAAAAAATCCATATTGCGAATTCGCTACAATGGTTGTACGAATTCGTTATACAGATATTACGAATTACGGATATAGCGAATTAAATTCACAGGTCCCAAGGACTTCGCTATAACTGAGTTTTACTGTATATGAAGTTTGGTCCCATCGATGGACAGTCACGTGATGAAAGCATAATACGTGTAATGATTGTAGGTCATTAACAAATTTCAATATCGCAAGAGCATACCCTATTTGAAATTAAAAATTCAAGCTATTAATTGTTTTTGTATACATTGTACTTTTTGGAAAGTGCTGTTGCTTTGAATAAAATTCTCGTTTTAATACTGTATACAGGGAAATTTTCGCCCCCGTTTTATTTTCGCCCTATTTCGCCCTACCCTCATTTAGGCTAATCTAAAACGGGGCGAATTCAAAGAATAGTCAGTATAATTTCTTAAGCAAAACTAGGACTAAGTGAATTTAAATTAGAATTTAAAATGGGGCAGAATTGTTTGCAAGAGTAAAAGGGCGAAAATAAGACGGGGCGAAAATAACCCTGTATACAGTAGTTATGCTATACATGTACAGAGCATTTATGGAGTAGAGTTATAATGCTACACTAATCATTTATAGAGTGATGCTATAAAGTTATAAAGTATATATGTAGTGATGTTATAATGTTGTACTGAGCATTTATAGCGATGCTTTATTATGATTAATTTAAGTAGCTTAATATAATATTTAGCAAATTTATCGAATGATGTTAGATTTAACAATTTATTGGTTTTTTTTCAGAAAAAAATATTATTATACAATAAAAAACGGGGCTCCATATTACTGTGAAGGTGCTTTGTTGCATTCTTCATAATGAGCGATCGTATAACACAGAATCCCTGTACAGTATTCATAAATTCGTTACCGAAAAAGGACAAAATTCGTAAGAACGATGTTTATCAATTACTAATGTAGATTCCTAATTATTTACGAGGGATTAATTTCCGCGTAATTTCGCGAGAAGCATTACTTGCGAAAAAAAAAATTATTACTCGCTTTTATTTTTATGATACTGAAAACAATGAAAACTCTGTTGATTAACCTTTCTTTCGCGAATTATAATTCTCGCGATTTGACGTTAAAGACTCAGTTCGCAATAAAAAGTACTTGCGAAAAATAAGAAATCTACTGTAACTTAATTTAACATGAACTCAACAGAAGTTTCGAGAGAAATGGCAAGTATGGATTCAAATTAAGTGAATTTCTCACGAATTTTAATCCTGTATATTCACATTTATCTGACCAATGAAGATCTCTCAACCGGATATGACGTGTTCGGAGGGATGCTACCGCTACTCTTTCCAGGCACCAGATCACTCATCTAGTTTTTCACGGGTTCATCGTTTAATCGTTTCCAGGCGGTTATAAAATTTTTGGTAGAACATATGATAGTTAACAGTCTCGTCTGACGTGAAATATTGTAACAACTGTACTCTCTTGTAAAAGAAAATAAGAAAACGAAATCATCAAAAATAAATTTGAAATAAATTTGAACAGTGTTTTATAATAACATGAACAATGCTCTAGAAAATAAATTGCAATTTGTATAATTTTGAAACTCTATTCACTCTCTCAATTTATTATATTATAAACTCAATACAAATACCGTTCTTTTTTATTTTTGTGAATGTTTACGCGTTACTATTAATTTTCTAGAGTTAAATTACATATCTAAATACCAATATTACGAAAAATTGTGTTCTAAGATTGACGTCATCTCGCCTTCTATGACGTCATAATGTAGCACTGATTTAGTCAAGGTAGAATATTTTGTATGCTTCCTTATGATCCCTGCGTAAGCTGTTTTATTTTTATTATGTTCCTGAAAAATCAATGCAATAATTTCATCATGATTTAACCTAAAAGAACTAGCCTAAAGAGTTATCAGTCTTGCCAAATGGTAGCTCTGTTTATTTTGTAGAAAGTTGTATCATACAATCAAGGACATTGATCTAAGTTCCTTAAAAAATAAAAATACATACTAATCAGCAATTTCAAGTATTTGCTATTTATTCTTTTCATGGAATTATTTAAAAAAAAACTTCCTGCTTTTGTACAAAATTTCAAACATACATTAACATCTGTTGTATAAGTAGCTTGTTTAGTGCGAGTATGAAAAACGAATTGTACCTTGATTTTTCTTCAAATCAAATAATGATCAAATTTATCATACTATATAAGGTAAAGTTTCAGAATTAAAAAAAAATGAAAATTGAAACATGAACTTTGCCGTTTATTATTAAAAATTGATTCACTAATATATACTGAGCAAAATAAGTTTAGCAATTAAAGATATTTAGTATATCAAGTAGAAAAAAGTAGACCCATAATTTATGATGTAATTGAAATGTTAAATTTTCTTCGTATAACAAAGAAAAGGCAATGTTTTAGTTGAATCGAAGACGATTTGTGTTTGCCCCTGCGATGCGTGATTGTTGATGACGTTGAGTAAGTGATAGTGCTTTGAGAGGTCTTTGAGCTCGAACAATGGCTGAACGTAGCCTGTTTCCTACAAATTGCCCGCATAACCTCACTCCAGTAACACTGCATAACTCTTCTGCAACTTAAGGAGCAGCCATAAAACTGTAACGTCTCGACGTTGTAACAGTTAAACAATCATTGCAAACCGTCGTTTTTCGTGGACGTCCTAAGCCCTGGAGATTGATTATGTGTTCAGTCGTTCGGAATCAGTTCGAAAGTCGGCATTTGGAGGACTGATGCAAGCAATAGTGTTCAGCGACATATTTTTGTGAGTAACCAATTGTTAGCATCCCTATAGTCCTTTAACGTTATTCTCGGAAAGTCCTAGTGTTTTTGCCATTAGACATTTTTGCAATTTTTCACCGATTTTTTTTTTACAAACATGCTCAGAAGGTTTTTCTAGTAAAAAATTGTTCTCGGATCATATGCGTTCTAGCGTAACCTTTTGTTTTATTGCATTGTCACAACGTTGGATGAAGCGGTTTCTGTGTGTCAAATTAAAAAAAAGAACTCTGTCGTTTGTTATCTTTATCTCTATTGTTTTTAAGAAGAAGCATAATAAAACAATAAAGAAAAATATTTTTAAATCATACATACGGAAAAGCAATTGCTAAACTTATTTTGCTCAGTATATTTGAGATTAAAAAGCCATGCTTATCATTTACGGCAAAAAACTCTTCCAAGTTCTTCTCTGAATTTGAGGTCATAAAACCAGTAAATATATGGATTTGCAATGTGATTTATCAGTTGAAAACGAATACAGAGAAGGTAAATATTCCGTTTGTACCCTTTAATTTCCTCTGTTTTTGCGAAGTGATAGATGTGTGTAACTAATGACGTCACATACGAAACTACGTAGACAATTATAATGACAAGATACATGACAGTGATATTCCTTCTAGAATTTTGTTCCGGACCATTCCTTTTTCTAGAGGCGTTTCGATTTTCCTCATCAGTTGAAAGTGAATTTTGTTCTATTGTTTCTTTTCCCACACTAACCATTTCGATTTCCGTGGACACGGCATGACTTCTGCCATCTTGTATATTATTTGGTTGGTATCGTCTAGCAATGGGAAGTCTTCTATAAACGGTTTTAATCACGGGAATGTAAAAACCGGATGTGATGAAAATGTTGATAAAGGAAAACAGAAGTAAAATTCCTAGGTATGCTATGATAGCACTCTTGTTGTTAGTACCGTCATCGATGTGACAGAAAGACACGTCACCTGTGACATTAAGTGATTTGATTTGATATGATATTATTTTGAATTTAAAAATTGGCGCTGCATATCCGATAGAAATCCAAAATATAACAACGGTTATAATTCTGCACACAATTGGAGTTAGTCGTTTACCGAAAGGACGGCAGATGAGCAGAAACCTCTGCAAAGCTATAGCAAGAATCAAATGACCGGAAAATCCCCCAGTCAGCACAATTAAAAATGACATCAATTTACACAAAAATACACCGGGGTAAATGTAGCGCATGGTGTTATCAAAGTGAAACTGAGTAACGTTCGAAACAGATCCCAGAAGATCAACAAGAGCCAAAATAGGTATGAAGTATCGGCAGCCTGTTTTGTCCTCTATGTATTTAGTATACATCAAAAGAACCAGACTGTTTCCAAGTACTCCAAAGGTTCCAATAATCAGTTGTATTATTGTTGACGGAATAAGATACTCAGCGTATTCTTTGGACAAAAACTCTGCGTCGGCCATGTCTGAATGAGAAGTAAAGAAAACTAACTTAATGATCATGAACCTTTTATTGACAGGAATGAAAATAAAATTTAACAATGCATTTATTATAGATGATTATTCAATTTATTTCCTTCCTCTATAAAAATGAAACCAAAACGGAAAAGGTTGTTTCCGATCGACACAGGGAAGAATTTGGTAGCTTGTATGCTCTTTGCAAATAATAATAAACAAAAACAAAAACAAACTAGGAGACTTATTGTTCACAGAACAATAAGAGGTCTTTCCACCTTCTTTGAATTTCAAATTTGTTTAATACTGACTCCTAAACATTAAATTCCATAAAAAAGAAACCAAAACTCTCTTAAAGTAAAGAAAAAATGAAAATTTAAAAACAGATGAATGACCTTGACCTTTGACCTTGAAAAAACCCAAGGTCAAAGGTCAAGGGTCACAATGCAATTGACCCAATGCTTCTACGACTTATAGAATGCAAGTTATAAGGTTTAATAGTAAGTACAAAGAAGTTAAAGGGCAATAACTCATATAAGGGGTCATCATATCCTGTTGCATTTATACAGTGAAGCTGGCCTAAAGACCCTTAAGACATTAATGAAGGTTTGGTGTCTCTACCTTCTACGATTTCGGAGGAGTAGCGATAACAAGGTTTTTAGCACAAGGGGCAATAACTTTCAAAGAGGTTAATGTTAGGGAACAAGAATGAAATCTTTGAAACAGTTTTAAAAGTACATATCAATGATGCATATACATTAAGTATACAATCAAAGACAAAGGAGATATAAAAAGAGCTAAATTTCTCATTTTTAGAATGACCTTGACCTTTGACCTTTACATGAATTTTAAGGTCAAAGGTCAGTAAATCTTATGCAGTTGGCCACATTTCTCTAAGACTTGTCGTTTTGAAAATTTTTAATTATTTGTAAAATTCAAAAAGTTTCAGGGGCAATAACTCATTGAAGGGGTCACCAAATACTTTCGCAATGAATAGATTCCAGAGTCCTCTCAATTAATCGAAGACTTTAGTGAAGGTTTCATATTTCTACGGTTTACGGTTTCGAAGGAGTAGCGATAACAAGGTTTTTACGCACAAAGGGCGATAACTTTAAATATGGTCAATCTAAAGAAATATGAATTAAATGTTTAAAATAGTTTTAAAAGTACATATTAATGGTGCTAAGACAGTTTGTATATGTTAAAAGACAAAAAAGATATAAAAAGAGCTTCATTTCTCAAATTTGGAATGACCTTGACCTTTGACCTTTGCATTAATTTCATGATCAAAGGTAAATGAATCTTATGCAGTTGGTCCCATGTCTCTATCGCTACTCGTTTTGAAAATTTTTAATTATTTGTAAAATTCAAAAAGTTTCAGGGGCAATTACTCATTGAAGGGGTCGCCAAATACTTTCGCAGTAAATAGATTCCAGAGTCCTCTCAATTAATCGAAGACTTCAGTGAAGGTTTCATATTTCTACGGTTTACGGTTTCGAAGGAGTAGCGATAACAAGCATTTCTTGCGAAAGGGGCAATAACTTTGAAAGGGGTCAAAGTTCAAACATGGGCTGTCGTTTTTCGGAATAACTTTTAATATCCAATATCATGAACTACAAAGTTTTTCGATAAGTCTTGCGGTTTCAAAAGTCCGGGAAGAAAAATAATAATAACTAGTAGACTTATTGTTCAAAGAACAATAAGAGGTCTTTCCACCTTCCTTGAATTTCAATTTTGTTTTAAAATTTAATTCCATGAATAAGAAACCAAAATTGTCTTAAGGGATAGCAAAAATTAAAAATTAAAAAAAAAAATTGAGGTGACCTTGACCTTTGACCTTGAAAAAATATTCAAGGTCAAAGGTCAAGGGTCACAATGCAATTGACCCCATGCATCTACGACTTATAGTTTTCAAGTTATAAGGTTAAATAGGAAGTACAAAGAAGTTAAATGGCAATAACTCATATAAGGGTTCATCAGATCCTTTTGCACTTATATAGTGAAGTTATGCCTTAAGACCTTTAAGACATTAGTGAAGGTTTGGTGTCTATACGGTCTACGGTTTCAGAGAAGTAGCGATAACAAGGTTTCTTGCACAAGGGGCAATAACTTTTTAAAGGGTTAATCTTTGGGGACAAGAATAAAATATTTGAAAGAGTTTTAAGAGTACATATTAATGATGCAAAGACATTAAGTATATATTGAAAGACAAAAGAGATATAGAAAACGCTTAATTTCTCATTTTGTGAATGACCTTGGCCTTTGACCTTTGCATGACATTTTAGATCAAAGGTCACTGAATCTTATGCAGTTGGTCCCATATCTCTACAACTTCTCGTTTTAAAAAAAAATAATTTTTTGTAAAATTCAAAAAGTTTCAGGGGCAATTACTCATTGAAGGGGTCACCGAATGCTTTCGCAATGAATAGATTGAAGAGACCCCTTAATTAGTTGAAGACATTGGTGAAGGTTTCATACCTCTACGGTTTACGGTTTCGGAGGAGTAGCGATAACAAGGATTTCTTACGTAAAGGGCAATAACTTCGAAAGGGGTCAAAGTTCAAACAAGGGCTGTCGTTTTTCAGAATAACTTTTGATATGCAGTTTCATGAACTATAAAGTTTTTCGATAAGTCTTGCGGTTTCAAAAGTCCGGGAAGAAAAAGAAGAATAACTAGGAGACTTATTGTTCACAGAACAATAAGAGGTCTTTCCACCTTTTTAAATTTCTTATAGTTTTATATTTTACTCTCTAATTTAATTTGAAGGGAAATGGCTTAAAAAAAAGAAAATGAAAATTTAAAAGAAAAAAAAAATTTAAATGACCTTGACCTTTGACCTTGATCAGATCTTCAAGGTCGAAGGTCAAGGGTCACATTGCAATTGACCCCATGCCTCTACGACTTTTAATTCTATAGTTATAAGTTTAAATTTTAAGTGCAAAGAAGTTAAAGGGCAATAACTCATATAAGGGGTCATTAGATCCTTTAGTACTTATACAATGAAGGTGTGCCTAAAGACCCTTAAGACATTAGTGAAGGTTTCATGCCTCTACGGTCTACGGTTTTGAAGTAGTAGCGATAACAATGTTTTTCGCATAAGGGGCAATAACTTTTGATAGGGTCAATCTTGGGGAACAAAAATGATATCTTTGAAATAGTTTTAAGAGTACATATTAATGATGCAAAGACTGATTTCACATGTTAAAAGACAAAAGATATATAAAAAGAGCTTTATTTCTCATTTTTGGAATAACCTTGACCTTTGACCTTGATAAAATTTTCAAGGTCAAAGGTCAAGGGTCACAATGCAATTGACCCCAGGCTTCTACCTTTTATAGTTTTCAAGATACAAGGTTTAATAGAAAGTATAAAGAAGTTAAAGGGGAATAACTCATATAAGGGGTCATCAGATTCTTTAACATTTATACAGTGAAGTTAGGTCTAAACACCCTTAAGACATTAGTAAAGGTTTGGTGTCTCTAGGGTCTACAGTTTCGGAGGAGTAGAGATAACAAGGTTTTTCGCATAAGGGGCAATAACTTTGAGAAGGTTTAATCTTAGGGGACAAGAATGAAATCTTTGAAACAGTTTTAGAAGTACATATTAATGACGCATAGACATTAAGTATATGTTAAGAGACAAACGAGATACAAAAAGAGCTAATTTTCTCATTTTTAGAATGACCTTGACCTATGACCTTTACATGAATTTTAAGGTCAAAGGTCATTGAATCTTATGCAGTTGGTCCCATGTCTCTACGACTTCTTGTTTTGAAAATTTTTAATTATTTGTAAAATTTAAAATCTTCAAGGGGCAATAACTCATTGATGGGGTCAATGAATGATTTCGCAATGAATCAATGAAATGTCTACTAAATTAGTCAAAGACATTTGTGAAGGTTTCATTTCTCTACGGTTTATGGTTTCGGAGGAGTAGCGATAACAAGCTTTTTTGCGAAAGGGGTAATAACTCCGAAAGGGGTCATAGTTCATATACGCAGGGTCAACTGCAAAAATCTTTTACGGAGTACATTCTTATGAACTTAAAATCTTTTCGATAAATCTTGAAACTCAAAATCACACGGCGGAAAAATAATAAAAAAGAAAAAAAACTAGGAGACTTATTGTTCACAGAACAATAAGAGGTCTTTCCACCTTCTTTGAATTTTAAATTTGTTTTATACCTGACTCCTAAAAATTAAATTCCATGAAAAAGAAACCAGAAATCTCTTAAAGCATAGAAAAAATGAAAATTAAAAAAAAAAATGAATGACCTTGACCTTTGACCTTGAAAAAATATTCAAGGTCAAAGGTCAAGGGTCACAATGCTGTTGCCCCCATGCTTGTATGACTTATAGTTTTCAAGTTATAAGGTTTAATAGTAAGTACAAAGAACTTAAAGGGCAATAACTGATATAAGGGGTCATCAGATCCATTTGCACTTATACAGTGAAGTAAGGCCTAAAGACCCTTAAGATATTAGTGAAGGTTTGGTGTCTCTACGGTCTACGGTTTCGGAGGAGTAGCGATAACAAGCTTTTTCGCACAAGGGGCAATAACTTTTAAAAGGGTTAATATTAGGGGACAAGAGTGAAATCTTTGAAACAGTTTTAAGATTACATATTAATGATGCATTGACATTAAGTATATGTTAAAAGACAAAAGAGATATGAAAAGAGCTAAATTTTCCATTTTTGGAATGACCTTGACCTTTGACCTTTACATGAATTTTAAGGTCAAAAGTCAATGAATCTTATGCAGTTAGTCCCATGTCTCTATGTCTTCTCGTTTTGAAATTTTTTAATTATTTGTAAAATTCAAAAACTTTCAGGGGCAATAACTCATTGAAGGAGTCAACGAATACTTTTGCAAAGAATCAATGAAGTGTCTACTAAATTAGTTGAAGACATTAGTGAAGGTTTCATTTCTCTACGGTTTATGGTTTCAGAGGAGTAGCGATAACAAACTTTTTTGTGAAAGGGGTAATAACTCAGAAAGGGGTCATAGTTCATATACGCAGGGTCAACTGCGAAAAT